ATTGCAGAAGCGGAGGGTGCCGTCGGGTTTGGGGACCATCACTATGGGGCTGGACCACGGGCTACGAGATGGTTCGATGATTCCCAATTTCCTCATCTTTTGGATCTCCTCGTTGATAGCCAGCCGGCGAGCTTCTGGTACTCGATAAGGCCTCTGCCGGACGATGGTGCCAGGTGGGGTGATGATGTCGTGCTGGATGATGGTGGTTCGGCCCGGTTTTTCTGAGAACACATCCCTGAACTGACCGACCAAGGCTTGCAGCTCCGCCTTCTGGTTCGGTGAGAGTTGCTCACCTATATGGACAACGGGAGAAGTTTCTTCTGAGAAGGCAACTAGATGACCTGGAGCTGCAACCCATTTTTTCATTAAGTTGATGTGGTAAAGTTGTTCTTCTCTTCTTCGTCCCGGCTGACGGACTCGATAGTTTACCGGCCCTACCCTTTCTACCACTGTATATGGCCCCTTCCAGGATGCCAAAAACTTCGAGGTGGTGGTAGGTATCAGGATCATTACCTTGTCCCCTGGTTGAAACTCTCTGGGTTGGGCGGGCCGGTTATATAATCGCTGTTGGGCGCGCTGGGCTTCGGTCAGATGTTGCTTGACGATGGGCATGACTTTCTCTATACGTCCTCTCATGTCCCGTACGTGCTCAATTACTGACCGTTGTGGGGCTGGCTCTTGCTCCCAAGCTTGACGAGCCACGTCCAATAGCCCTCGTGGTTGGCGGCCGAACAGCAATTCAAAAGGTGTAAAACCTGTAGATCCTTGGGGAACTTCTCTGATTCCGAAAAGCACGTACGGGATCATGAGGTCCCAGTCGCGCCCATCCTCTGCCACCACCCTGCGGAGCATCTGCTTCAGCGTCTTATTGAAGCGTTCCACCAAGCCATCAGTCTGCGGATGATAAACAGAGGTTTTTATTTGCTTTACCTTAAGGAGGCGGCAGAGGTCTGCCATCAACCGGGACATGAATGGGGTGCCCTGGTCGGTCAGTATCTCTGCTGGTATTCCTACCCGGCTGCATAATAAAAACAGCTCCTTAGCGATTGCCGATGACGTGGCTTTTCTCAGAGGGATCGCTTCTGGATATCTGGTGGCGTAATCGAGGATGACAAGGATGTGTTCATGTCCCCGGGCCGACTTCGGCAAAGGCCCTATCAAGTCCATGCCAATGCGGTTGAAGGGCACCTCAATGATGGGTAATGGTATCAGAGGGCTGGGGGGTGGTCGTTGGGGAGACGTTCTTTGGCATATGTCACATGCCTGACAATACCTCTTGACTTCTCCATCCAACCCGGGCCAGTGGAAACGATCTCTGATCCTCTTGATCGTGTTGGCTGCTCCTAGATGTCCTGCCATCGGGTGAGTATGTGCCAGTTCTAGAACAGTCTCCCTTTTGGTCCTCGGGACGACCAATAGCGTCTTCGTTTCCCCCCGCCTCTCTGCGACACAGTACAGCAGACCATTTTGCACAATAAAATGTGGGAGGGGGTGAGGGCTGGGAAACCGTTCGTTACCGTCTATGATCCGGACTTGTGGCCAGCAGTGCTTCAACGTTTCATCTTCACGCTGTGCTCTCCCGAAATCGCCACCTGCGGTAATCTGTTGAAAAAGATCATAGTACAGGTTAGCCGATGATGACTCACCCCCTCTGTCGCTCTCGGTGGCCATCAGCGCTGTTTGGCGGTCCCGTTGAGCCCGTCCCTTGCTGTTCTTCTTTGCCCGAGCCGATCGAGCCTGATGGTGGGTGAGGAGATCATCGAACCCCGGCCAGTCTCTGCCCAGAAGAAGGGGTACAGGAAGATCTGGAACCACTCCTACTTCGATGCGCCAGCTTCCCGACTTAGTCGCTATAGTGACTCTTTGGGCGGGTACGTGGCGGGTATCACCGTGTATGCATGTAATCGGGATTCGACCTTTCCCTTCTTGATGGTATTTTAACGTGTTTGGGTGGACCAGTGTTATTGCACTTCCTGTATCCAGTGTGGCCGTCTGCGTTTTCCCGTCTAAGCATACTTTTCGGGTGGGAGCTTTGGGAGGGACGTTGCGATGTACCACGCACCCTGCCGTCCAGGCCGGGGCCGAGAGTGCTGTTGGCTCTGTGGGCATCGGTTCGTCGACTGGGCTGGGGACCGCCGGTCTGCTGCCTGGTCGTGTTGTGCCCTCCACCGGTCGCCATGGTGCATTTACCCTCCGGGGTGGCAGAGCCGCTCTCTCCCCAGTCTCCCGGGCCACGTGAGCTTCTGCCAGCTCCACCGCCTCCACCAAAGCGGCCAGCGAGTCGGGGTTCCTCATGCTGGTAAGTGTGCGGAGCCGTCTGGGTAGCGCCCTCATCATCTTTTCAATGACCACCTTCTCAGCGACCTGGACTGCGGTTGGATCTCCTCCTAACAACCATAATCTTCCCAATCTTGATAAGTTGGCTGCTTGGGTCCGAACCGGCTGTTTGTCATCATAGGACCACTGAGAAAATTGTTGTGCTGCGCTTATATTGGAGAGTCCCATTCTGGCGAGTATCTCCTTTTTTAATGCTTTATAGTCGTCATTTTTCGGTGTCTCTAATGCGAAATAAGCTCTTTGAGCTTCCCCAGTCAGGAATGGCGCTAACATCCTCGCCCAACTTTCCTTCGGCCATCTCTCTCTTTCCGCAATTACCTCAAAGGTGTGCAGGTAAGCATCAATATCATCCGGGTCGCTGAGTTTTGTGATAAATCTATGGGCGCTCACCTCAGAGAACTGGCTGGAACCGGCCGCTTGGCGGAGCTGTTGTTCCATATGGTCTTGTCTGGCGGTGAGTTGTTCAGTTATCACTTGTTGTCTTCTTGAGATTTCCGCTAGATGGCGTACTACCTCTTCGATCGACATGACTCAGGAGGGGATGACAGCCGAGTAAGAGAGCGTGAGTGAGAGAGAGAGCGGATGCCTGTCTGTAAACAGAAGAAAAACAGAGAAAATTCAGTGGTTACTTCTTCTTACTGGTAAGTGCTGAATTTTTTTCCCTCTGAAAAAGCGCGCATTCTCCACCAGTTGTAGCGAGGCAGAGGGAAAACAGCGGCACAACAGGATGAGTTTACAGACAAGTCCCCGGAGGGTGCTTTATTTACAAAGTGAATGTGATGTAAAAGGTGCTCTTCTTTAGGGTGAGGTGCTCTGGTGCTCCGGGAAGTAGGTGGAGGACAGTGAGTAGTCGGGTGGAGGATCATCACGAGCTGGAGTCCGCTATGGAGAGACAGAGAGACAAGCATTAGCACAGGGAGTCATAGAAGGAATGAAGCTCATCTTCTCCTGGCGTAGGTTGGGCTTATATGTCTCTCCGCTTGATGTCCTCCAGCTGTGTGCGATCCTGGCTTGATGAAGGTCCAGCTGGGTGAAATTAGCGACCAGGGCGACGTGACATATAATTGCTCGCTACAATATATATATAGATATATATATATATCTATATATATATATATATCTATATATATATATATATATATATATATATATATATATATATATATATATATATATATATATATATATATATATATATATATACAGTAAAAGTCAGAATTATTAGCTCCCCTGAATTATTAGACCGCTTGTTTATTTTTTCCCCAATTTCTGTTTAACAGAGAGAAGATTTTTTCGACACATTTCTAAACATAATAGTTTTAATAATCCATTTCTAATAACTGTTTTATTTTATCTTTGCCATGATGACAGTCAATAATATTTTACTAGATATTTTTCAAGACACTTCTATACAGCTTAAAGTGACATTTAAAGGCTTAACTAGGTTAATTAGGTTAACAAGGTAGGTTAGGGTAATTAGTCAAGTTATTGTATAACAGTGGTTTGTTCTGTAGATTATCGATTAAAAATAGCTTAAAGAGGCTAATAATTTTGTCCCTAAAATGATGTTTAAAAAATTAAAAACTGCTTTTATTCTAGCCAAAATAAAATAAGACTTTCTTCAGAAGAATAAATATTATCAGACATACTGTGAAAATTTCCTTGCTCTGTTAAACTTAATTTGGAAAATATTTTAAAAAGAAGAAAAAATTCGAAGGTGGCTATTAATTTTGACTTCAACTGTGTGTGTATATATATATATATATATATATATATATATATATATATATATATATATATATATATATATATATATATTAGTGCTGCCAATCGATTAAAAAAATTAACTAATTAATCGCACTTTAAAAAAATAAATCGCGATTATTCGCATTTAAAAGACCGAAACTTGTAATTTTGGCTATTCGAATGTAAAATTAATGTAAACGCAAGACAAATACTATTTAAATTCAAAATATAATTCATTATTAGAATTTTTGTTTAACTTGTAACACAGATTTACATTTTACATACATTTCATCACCAAATATGTTTTACATAGACAATTAAGTAGATTTTGGACAGTTTTTTCATTTAGAAATGTTTCTGTTGAGCATATCACAAAGTGGACACAAAGTGACTAGATTGCTGTAAACGCTGTGCCTGAACAGCCATAAGACCCCTCCTTATCCTCCACCTACTGACCTCATTCTTTCTTAAACATTAAGCATGCTAGCCAGTCAGGATTAAAAATTTGCTGTCTGAAATTGTATGTTTATATTAAAGAAAAAGGATAATATTTTTAAACTAGAACTGTTTCTAACATAAACCCCAATCATTTCTTTTGCAGCTATAAGATATAAGCTACTGCTTTTTTGTATTGTTTTCCACTGTCACCTTTAATGTTCATATGAAAACCGTGTAAGTTTATTTTACATTATTAGTTTGAAACATTTGAAAATTACCCTCCTTTAAAAAAAAATGTTAGAAATGGAAAAAAATAAATAAATAAACAATAAATAAATGTATCTTCTGCTTCTTATTCCATCAAAATGTCAGGTTTAAACTAGGAAAATTTAAATAAAATAAATAAAAAAAAGAAAGAAAAAAGAAACAAAATGGAAGATGAAATTGAAATGTTACAATATGTTGATCTTTATCTTCAGGTCAACTCTGATGGCAGGTGGAAATGGGTCTGGATCTGCAGTGAATCCGTGGCTTATTAATGAATCTGAGGAGACCAAAGGACTAAGCTTTGGAGAAATCAAAAACCAACAACAGCAGATTATCGAAGGTACATTGCATACAGTTTGAGTTTACTCTGCCGGTCTATCAAGTTTATTATGTAGCCTAAAGGATTAGTTTACCCAAATAGGAGAAATATATGAATCACCCTCATGTCATTATAAACCCTTGAGACAATAATTCATCTTAGGAACACATATTAACATATTTATATGAAATCTGACAGCTCCTTTATCTTCCTGTGACAGCAAAGTTCCTGACTCATTCAAAGTCCAGAAAAATACCTAGAATATTCTCTAAACAAACCAAATGCCTTTAGTGGTTGAATAGGAACATTATCAAGCTACAATACTTTCATTTGTACATAAAACTACGTTTTATTCAACATTTTTTTTCCCTCAATGTCAGTATAAGGCACAGGGTGAACACTGTGTAGTGATGTAAACGCCGCCCATTCCTGTAACTTTGTTTGGAACAAAGCACAAGTTTATTCTCCAAGGCATGACCAAGCATGAGACATGAACGTGTGCCCTATACTGACACTGAAGAAACTGTTGAATAAAGATTTTATTTTAGTTTTGTGCTGCACAAATGTATTGTCATAGCTTAATAATATTTCAGTTAAATCACTGAAGGCACATGATCTGTTTTTAAAATATTTTTTCATATTTTTTCTAGTCGGGAATCATGCCTGTAATGCAGTGAATGCATAGCTGGCTAAGAGGAAGTTCGCTACTTTGTTATATAAAAAATACATACAGCTAATCATTGTTCATATCATTGTTTACATTCGGCATGGAATGAGAGGTTAAGTAAAGTGAACCATTCAACCCAATAGTGGAAAAGCTGCTCTAGTTTTCCCACGTGGTCTCCCATCCAGATATACTAACCAGGCTCAACCCTGCTTAGTTTCAGTGGGTGACCATTTGAGAGCTGCACAGTGATAGCTGTTAGCTTGTGTTTATAAATAAAGTATATTTATAAAAAGCTATCAGCAGTTAAAAAGGGGTTGTCATTAATTAAGGATAAAATAAGGGTTACAGTAATTCAAAATGAAGGGTGCTGACAATCGACTTGTGTGCACTGAAAGATGTCTCTCTGACAACATGTAGCAAACACTCGAAATTCAGTTCTGTTTACTAATATATATTGTGATTGAGCGGTCAGATGCACAGAGAATTATTTCGTAAGGAAGGCAATAGGGAATCACTTGCAGTTTTGACTTAATTTGCTTTCTTACTTTCTTTATTGAACATTTCTGTAAAACATGTATTTATTCTTCTGCTTTTGGTATAACAAAGAACTGTAATTATTATTATTATTATGGTAATTATTATTAGCCTGCTGCTGGCTCTCTGCAAGTCTCACGTGGTCGCCCACTGAAGCTAAGCAACTATACTCCAGTGGTCCCCAACCTTTTGATCACCACGGAACGCTTGTGAGTGCAAGCCGCGCACCTCCAATGGAAATAACGAACTTGCGCTAACTCTAGCAAAGACATGATATGTGAAGGCCCCTAAAAGGCTGCCGCCATTTGCAATCTCCAGCAGTTGATCTTCTTGTACAGACATGCTGGATACCTGATTTGTTGACAAATGGATTGCGGATCCATTTTTTGCAGTTCATGGGTCCTTTACTGGGCCTTTTCCCTTTAGCAAAGAAACTTTTCAAAGACGTCTGTTTCTTATTTTGCTGCTTGTGGGTTAAATTTGGAAGGTCAAGTCACTGAGATGTATGCGAGAGAATACAGTCATTTTACAAAATAAAAGATCGTTCAGGCTTAGATAGTAAATACAACGGAAATAATAAGTGATTTTTTGTGCGGCCTGTACCAATTGATTATCGGACCGTGGCCCGGTGGTTGAGGACCACTGCTATACTGCTCTTTGAGCGCCGTGTTTTAGATGAGATGTTAAATCATGGCCTCCTAATTATCCCCATATCATAATTGGCTTCATCCTCTCCACCAATCAGGTGGTGTGTGGTGTGCGGTCTGGCCCAATATGGCCGCCGTTGCGTCATCCAGGTGGATGTTGCACACTTGTGGTGGATGAGAAGATTCCCCCCAAAAATGTGTAAAGCGCTTTGAGTGTCCAGAAAAGTGCTATGTAAATGTCAGGGATTATTATTATTATTATTATTATTATTATTATTATTATTATTATTATAAATAACAGGGTTTTAAAACGTGTTAAGCATGTTCTTTATTAAATTAATTTTTTGTTAAAAATAATATAACCAACTGCTAAAATTGATTTATGTTTCTGCAGTGTAAATATAAGCATTATAAATGGGATTTGCACGTAGTACTATACACAATGTTGTCATTATTATATGTGTGCATCAGTTGTGTCACTTCTCTGTCATTCATAATTCTTTGCCCTTTTGTTTTTGTGTGGTTTACATATTTTGTCTGAATATACCTCTGTCCTCTTTTGTGTCTTGCTCTTTAGCCCAGGATGCTGGCCTGGATGCTCTGGCGTCAGTCTTAAGTAGACAAAAACAGATGGGTCAAGAAATCGGCAATGAGCTAGATGAACAAAACGGTGAGTGAAAAGTGCAGTAGCCTATATATGACAGGTCTGGCTGAACATCCACATGTTTTTCTATGAATAACGTCTAATTTGTGGTCAGGTTGGTTTTACTTTGTCACGCTGCTCTATCGCTAAACTACATATGATGTCATTGGCTTTAAAATGAGCATTTTTTTCCAGTGGAAAATGTGGAATGGTACATGGAAACTCTCACCTGGTCTATCACATTTTTAAACTTCTTCCCAATGCAATGTTTCAAACTTATTTTATAAACATAAGACATCGCACAGAGACATCACATCATTGTAGTGAATCTATTTGAGTTGGAATGTGAGAACATGGAGGAATCACATAGTATGTACATGGAGTAGACTGAGCACAGGTCAGTCATCTGTGACCTCATCTGAAGGTCACAGGTGCTTTTAACTTTTCCCACACGGCCTTTCCAACCTTTTAATGCTGGAGTGGTGAAAACAGATAGACTTATATACAGATATATATAATTAGGGTTTTTTTTATGATGTGAGATATTTTATCTGCTGAGATCGGTTTGCTGAAATACAATATTTTCTTAAAATAATCAGCCGCGCTGACATCACTAAAGAGTATCGCTGCTTTAGTTTGACTTGTCAGGGTTACAGCAATTTATAAAGCTAAATAAACCTGGGCTGGAGTTATTGTTTTTATTACATTGACTTATGAAGTCCAATGTTGAAATGTTCCTCTCTGTCAAAAAATATAACTTTCAAAGTCAATTTACCTCTTTTAAAAGTCAAGAAGCAGATGTAAAACTTTTGAAGTTGGCAAGGTTTTTAAAATGTTTTTAAATAATTTTTTTTTGCTGGCCAAGTCTATATTTAATCAAAAATACAGCAAGAAGAGTAATATTGTGATATTTAATTAACATTTCAAATAAATGTTTTCTTGGTCTATATATTTAAAGTGTCATATAATTCTTGAGAAAGTGCTGATTTTAGTGCTCAAGAAGTAGTGCTCATACTATTATTTTTTTGGTATTTAATATTTTGTGAAAACTATGGTTATTTTGTCAGGATTTAATGACTTTATCAATAACAGTTTTAGTTTATTAAAAAGACAAAAACTAATCATCTGAAGAGTACAGGAATAGAACAGGATGACATATTGGCAGTAAAGAGTTGAGCAAAATCTCTATAATAATTGTAGTTTTACATTTGAAGCAAACACAGTGTGTTGTCAAGTAAGAAAAAAGACAAGTCTTTTTCTTTTTCACATCAAATGTATAATACACAAATGTACAGTTGAAGTCAGAATTATCAGGCCTCCTGAATGATAACCCAGACCCTACCCCCCCTTTTTTTTAAACACATTTTTAAACATAATAGTTTTAATAACTCATTACTAATAACTGATTTCTTTTATCGTTGCCATGATGACAGTAAATAATATTTAACTATATATTTTTCAAGACACTTCTATACAGCTTAAAGTGACATTTAAAGTCTCAACTACGTTAATCCTTAACTAAGCAGGTGAGGGTAATTAGGCAAGTGATTGTATAACGATAGTTTGTTCTGTAGACTATCGGAAAAAAGTAGCTTAAAGGGGCTAATAATATTGACTTTAAAATTTGGTTTAAAAAATGTAAAACTGCTTTTATTCTAGCCAAAATAAAACAAATGAGACAATCTTCAGAAGAAAAAATATCATCAGACATACTGTAAAAATTTCCTTACTCTGTTAAACATCATTTGGGAAATATTTAAAAAAGAAACCGTATATAAAACAACCCCACCACATTTGTTATTTTCAAATTCACTGTTTATATGTCATAATAATTGGATCATATGCTTTTTTTGCTTAAATAAAATATGTTGTTATTTTTTGTTGTTGTTGAAAAGACTTCCTAACTCACTTTTGAGCAGTTTAATGTTTTCCTCTCAAGTGGCAACCTTCTGCTCTCCCTCGTGAAACAAATACTGAAGTAACTGAAACTGCAATTCATCAAAATTCCGCTAGTCCTGGCTTCATAATAGAGCAGATTTCTATTGAGCCCACTGTTAAAATGGCCAACTTTACTGCAGGAAAAAAAGGTGTTTACAGCCTTATAATAACAAGATTTTTTTTATATAGCTAATATTACCCTTCATGACAACTGTGAGGCGGTGAATTTTTTAATAACTCGTCTGTTTCGTTTATATTAAGTTATATTAAGTCTACATAATTAAGGGCATGGCCACTTAAGTGACAGCTAGGTCTTGCTGGTCGCCGTCACTTCACCTCAGCTGATTTCACCTGATTAGCTGCTGAACTCGGCATATACATCATATTTTTGTTTTGTTTTAAGTGGCTTTACACAGTCATTTGCCTTTTGTAATTATTTCTTTACAAGTATCAGATGATATAGCATGCTGTGTGCACTTAATTGTGCTCACAAATAATTCATATGGCCTCCATTTCCTACATAGGTGAGTGAATCTCTATAAATTTATTTATTTATTTTTTTGGATAATTTATCATTTATATTTTTCTTTAGAACTGTAAGGCACTCCAGAATCTGACAGATTGATTAGCTGTAGGCTCTAGAACAGTCATCTGAAACGTTGTCATACAGTGTTATGCCTAGATTTTATAAATAATCTTGCATTTACTAACACAGAATATATTTTACGTGTTTGGAAGAAAATAGCTTTTTCCTCCTGCAAAAAATTTCATAAGAAAATTTTTAGTTGTTGATATGGTGTACAACCAACCACAAATGAGTGGCAGGTAAATAAAAAAGCGTTTCTCCCAAAGAAAAGTGTGTCTATGCAAAATGCTAGCAGGCATCTGTAGCTTTGCTCACGCTCTTCCTCTTTGCCCTTGTTTGGTATTACAAGTAGCTTACTTGTAGCTTCTTTTTGCGTTCTTCAGAAAACTATGGGTAACGTCACGGATACTACGTCCACATTTTTTACAGTCTATGGTTTTTCCTAAAGTACTAATTAAAAAAAAAACAAAAAAACAAAAATGACCTCAAAGTAAACTGACCAAAAATATAATCATGGAATTTTTATTAATAAACAACAATTTTTATAAACACAACAGCAATTTTTGATAGGCAGTGTAAAAGATAGATTTCAGTTTAAAACCTGTTAAATAAATCTCAAAAGCTGTGTATTATTTATGGATGCATATGGCTAATTAGTCTGTCTAGCTGCCTTGTATGTTGTGACAAAAAACATGTTGTCTAATTGCTGGAAAAATTAAAGGTCTCAAGCTTTGCTTTAGTGTATATAAGAAGAGCAGCTTTTAAAATGCAAAAAAAAAAAAAAAAAAAAAAGAAATCCACATGACCCTAATGGATAAACATTTGGGTTGAAATCAGCTCTGTGTCTGTGCAACTTGTTTCTAAAAAAACGAATCCTGATGCAAGTTCACCTCCTCCCTGTTGCTTTTGTTGGCACAGTGAAGGTTGCCCACAATGATTTTTCAGGGGGCAGTGTAATTACTGTGGACCACTTCCAGTGTCACTACTTTTTCCTGTCTGCTTCAGCAATCCGCAGCTTGGTGAAAACATGAAACAGACTCCAAATGTTTCAAAGGTTACATTTGACTCTTCTATTAAACTAAGATGGATGCATATATTCATTTACAAATGTGTTCTGAGCTTAATTATGATGCTTTTACATAGCTTAAAGGTGCAATAGGAGATTTTATAAAATGTTAGCATTAGCCTGATAGGATTGAAAGTCACATCTCGCCTTGTAAATTGCCATAAAAGACACACCTTCTAAAAGGAACAAACCTTATAGTATAGCCCTGGATAAACTTTATAGTACAGTTAGTAATTCATTTATTTATTTATTTTCCCTTTATTCCTTTATCAGGGGTCACCACAGTGGAAATTATTCACCATAATGTTCACACCCACAGACTCTGGCATTCACACACATACACTACGGCTAATTTAGCTTTTTCAGTTCACTTGTACCGCATGTCTTTGGACTGTGGGGAAACTGGAGCTCCCGGAGCAAAACCCACGCCAACACGAGGAGAACATGCAAACTCCACACAGAAACAGACCCAGTTGGGGCTCAAACCAACGGCCTTCTTATTGTGAGGCAACAGTGCTTACCACTGAGCCACCATGCAGTTAGTAATTACAGTAAGGTTGTTGATGTTATTGTTTTGAGAGATTGTTACTTTATCAGTTGGTTAAAATGGTTAAAGATAAACTTGTGCCTACAAAAACATATGGTAGATACTGTTGTTGTAGTACATATCCAATCCAATACGACCATAAGAACTTTGTTTTTTAGATATCTCGTCAGTGTTCAACACCATAAATGTGTACGTATTAGCTTCAAAACTTGTGTGTTAATCCCTACACTGTAAAACCCAAACAGAAAAGGAAACTCAAACCATTTGAGGAAACCGATTGCAACAAACCATTTAAGTTAAAAAAGAACCCTAATGAGTACTGTGAACTTAATCCATTTGAGTAAACGAAGCAATTTGAGCTCAGTAAAACCCAATAAATGAAGAGAACTCAAACCAAGTACTGTAAACCCAAATAAGTTAAGGCAACTCAAACCGTTTGTGGAAACTGACTGCTACAAACCATTTGAGTTAAAAAAAATATCTATATGAGTACTGTGAACTTAATTAAATACATCATTACTTTATTTTAAATGAATTAATTACCTTCAACACTAAGTTCAAAACTCTTTTCAAATGAATATAATTAACTTTCAGTAACTTTTGAGTTAACTACACTCATTTCATTTGTTAAAGATGTTGGGTTGGGTTCTACAGTGTCTTTGACCCGCTGGTACATCTCATTTCTTACTAACAGTTCAGAGAGTCAAAGTGAACAAAATAATGGCATATGCTATTATAACAAATGTTTGAGTACCTAAAGGTTGGATAAGCTCCAATATACTCTACCTTGTACATGATTCAATTTCACAGTAAATCTGACATCAATTTAGCACCGGTTTTTATTAATAACAGTAAAATTGAACAGGTTGAAGCATTCAAATATCTAGGAGTTATGAATGACAATACATTATCATGGAATAAACATTTTGATGTTGTATTCAAGAGATCAAAGTTGTAACTTTGAAGACAGGGTTGTTTAATTATTTAAAATTCTGCTCTAAGATTGTAGGTGAACCCCTATAGAAAAGCTTTAGGACTCAATGTGATGTAACTTGATGGGAATATTTAATAACAAATTCTCTTTAAGACAAGCCATTTCACTCTCCAGCCATCTTTGAAACGCCTCTCGGACAGTATGCTCGGCTACTCTGTCTGAATGAGGAAATAATATAATTTCTTATCCCTAACCATGTTTTGATTGGACTTTTCTTGGTCCTATACCTTCTACAGAATATATAAAAAAACACGTAAGTGCACATGGACCACTTAATTTAATGATTGCTATAAGAATGTGAAGAGATTTTTCAACCAGCTCAACAAAAATGGTTTCTGAAGACAATCACCTTTTATGCCTCTAAACCGATTTTGGGTTGATCATTGTTGTGACCTCTTGGTTGAAACTAATGGTGGGAATTGTAGGCTCTTGTCTGCTTTTCGTGGTCTCTGCCCGGTCTCAGTCTATGCAGGGTTCAGCCTGATTGATTTAGTCTGCGTCTCGCCTCCTCAACTAAACATAGAAGTGAGAACGAATCATTTGAACGGGCCCTCAATCTTTCTCCCTGCTTTTGCTAAAGCATGCAGCGTCAGTGTTTCCTAGAACAGGAGTTTGGCGAGCAGTAACTGAAACTGCATGGTCTCTGTTTCATAGACTCACATTTGAGAGCTGATAGAGTTACGGTGCTGGTCGGTGCTTGGTCTGAGTCCTACAAGCCTCCTCTAGAGTACATCTACAAGAATCTTTGTGTTACAGATATTAAGGCTCTCCAATGTTTGTTTTAAAGGCTTGCTTTCTTCTGGAAATTAACATGAAAGGCTATCTCAGGTAAAAAAAAAAAAACCTGAAAATGTACTCACCATTTTCTTATCCTTCACTTTTTAGACCAGTTTGACTTGCACAGTATCTGTTTTTCCTACTGTGGAAGTGAATGTTAACAGGATTTCTGCTTTCTTCAAAATATCTTTTTCGGTGTTCAACAGCGTAAAGGTTTAGAACAAGTTCAGGATGAGATTTGACATTTTCATTTTTGGGTAAACTATCACTTAAGAGTGATATCGTTTTTGTGAAAATGCAAATTTAAAGTTTAGAAAATAAATTGTGGCTGCGCAGCATATCATTTCAGCATTAAAATCACAATATATGCATTTGCAATTGTCGCAATAGTTCAGAATGCATGAGATTTGTGGATTTACTGCAGAGTTTAACCATGTTGGAGTAAACATTTATCATATGCATGTGATTTTAAGGCCTGTGACAGTGCAAGCATTTCAAGAGCGATATAAACATTCATACACGAAATGTTGTGTCTGTCACTTTAATAAAGAATCATTTTATTGAATTGTTTATGGAATGAAATCAGTATTACTTTACATTTGATCATTCATTCTATTTCTGCAGCCGAATACTGCTAGACTTCCCAGAAACCTTCTATATTATCTATGCTTGTAATTTGTTTATTATATTTTATGCATGATACAGTGCCCTACAGAATCATCCCAATCTATCAACATTAATTAGTTATTATCAAAAAGAGCTATTCCAGGAATCTGGTGAAACTGAATTCATATCACAATATATATTGCTGTAAACAAAATAGCAGTTTTTTTCCCCTCAATATCATGCAGCCTGAAAAAAAATAAATTCTTAAAAATATATTTTAAATATATTGAAAAAAGTGTGTGGTTAAACTAAAATGTGTGGGTAAATGTCAAAGTATAATATGTAAAAGAAAATAATGTGGTAGATTTCCTCTTACAATCTTTATGATAACATGTAGTTTATTTTCAAAATGTAGCATCAGTTTAAAAAAAATACTTTTTGGTACTTCATTATTGTTTTTTTTTTTTATCAAGAACACTGGAAGATTTGGGAGTTTTTCATGATCTTTGTGTTCTGGAATTTAAAACTCTACAAAATTAGCATTTGCACAATATACTTTCCTGATCATTCCATAGTCTGGGCTTCAACTGGGTCATTCCAGAACTACTACCTTATTTTTTCCAAGCAACCCTTTTATAGCTGTGTGCTCCTAATTATTGTTGCCCTGGAAAATGAATCTTCATTGTATATGCAGATCTTTGACTCAAACAGCTACTCACTCCAACAGTATTTACCTCTGTTTGGCTCTGTCCAAGTGGCTCTTCATGCCAACAAGGCTTTCAGTGCCCTAGAGCACAATGCTGCCTCAACCTGACTTGATGGAGGGATGATGATGCCTTGGAATTGGTCCACATTTGGTTTGGGCCAAGCATTCTATTTTTCTTTTGAATCACCTCAACCTTGGACTAATCAGACCACAAAATTCTTCCAGAAGTTTTGGAGTGACTTAAAAGTTTTGTCACATTGCTTCTAGCGAAATATAGCTATGATGTAATGTCGGCTTTTTCTCAAAATTGGCATTCTTATTGCCATTTTTGTGAATAGAGGCAGCGTCAGTAAAGTATGAAGGGAATTGTTGATGCCCATATAGTTTTCCGCATTTAATCCAAAAAAACTGACTTTTATCCTTTTCGTTGCTGTTATTATTATAAAACAGTTGACCTTCTGGCCTTTATTGGTTAGCCTGAATTTAGTAATGTTTGGATTCTGCCATGAATTTCCATTTGCTTGCAACAAGCATTACAGTATTTTTTGGCAAACGTGTGATACTTTTTGGGATTTAATAAGCTAATGTTTTTAAACTATTAATCCAGATAGTTTCATTCAATTCTTCAAATGTTTCCACAATTATATCAGACCGCATAAGTAATCAGATTCTTTTTTAAATGTAAGCTGTCAGAATAAAATTTCAAGGGTCAATAAAGTTGGTGGATCCACTTCTTTTAAAGTTAATACATAACCTTAATAACCCCTTCTACAGAGACTTAATAAACAACAACAACATTTCTAGAAATGTTTCAAAAGTTATTTTTATACTTTTTAAATATAGGAAAACGTATGGTTAACGGAGTGCAATTTCATCAAGCTGGGAATAAAATGTGGTTTATCGCTCATGCATGACAACTTCAACATCTAAAATCTTTTTTTTTTTTTTTGGAAAGTGCATGATTTTGAAAAAAACAAAACAAAGTACACTGTAAAAAAACTGTTAATTACAGTTTACATATTTTGTGTTTTCCCTTTATTTATGGTTGGAAATTGCATTATGGGATGTTGATCTCTGCTTTATCAACTTTTGATGTTGCAAATTCCACTCTGCAGTTTAACAAAGTCATTTTTACTGACATTTATGTAGTTTGACACAAGATGTTGTTTAGGAATGAATATATAGAGAACCAACTTTATAAAATAACAGAAAATGCACTGGCTGTTTATTACCAGGTTTTTGCAGCATACTATACAACACCCACCCAGACAATATATCGCTTAAAACCTATTAACCCTTTGACTGCCCGCTCTACCAAATGGTTAATCATGCTTTGACTGTTTTAAATAATGACTGTTTATGACATTTAAAGAATGATTTGTTTTAAATAATGTTTTAAATAATGGTTCACACACAACATTGTTGGTTTACAAAAAAATCTAACAAACATAAAAAAAGCTTTTTAAATGAGAATCTGAAATATCTTTATGGCATACTTAAAAAAATGTTTTATTTTGAATATTTTTTTTTAAATAAATTGGTCTTACACTTCATATTTTCTGATTTTTCATAGTATATTTGTTAATTCCAGTGCTTTCACCATAACCGACATATCTACCATTTTGCTGAGGTATATATTTTAGAAATTATGGGATGTGTTAAAAAAAAAAATGCATCGAGTGTGTTAACTAGCGACATTAGGAGTTAAGAAATGCAATCCAAACATTTTTACTTTGTAGGGTAGTTACAGGGTTTTCAAATGTTTCAAGGTCAAAAGTAGTTAGAAGAAAAACCAAGGTCCCATTATGCAGTTCAAAAGCCTAATATATATATATATATATATATATATATAAAAAATACACTGTAAAATAAATCTGTAATTTTACTTTTTTTTTTTTTTTTCGGCAGCTGGGGTGCCGGAAAATAAACGTAAAGAAACAGTCGTTAAATAAAAAAATTTACCGTAAAATAATAAATGTTAAATTACAGAAATTTACCAGAATTTTAAATGTGAGGAAATTTCTGTAATTTAATATAATTTATTTTATTGTAAATTTCTGTAATTTAATGGCGTTATATTACATTTAAACCGGTATATAAGCCGTTAAATTACAGATTTTTTTACAGTGTACATGAATGACAAAATACAGCGGATATAAATTTTCAGTAAATATGTGGGTCAAAAGAGGGTTTCAAGCAAAAAAAAAAATGTTTTTCATATAAGCAAACAAACGTACTCCTACTTTTTCACAATATGTTGCAATAAAGTAATTCAGTTAAAGTAATACAATTTTTGATACGTGATAGGAGATCTCATTTGATTCCTACTCCAGAACGAGATGTCTCATCTTTGACACTCTTATTGCTAATATTTAAATAATGATGTTGACTAAAGAAACATGTACTGTTTGCCAACTATCCCAGCATCTTGTATAATGACACGTGATCTGCAGGCACTGCATGTGTGCCTTTACATCTTCTCTTTTTTGTTGATCAATTTCATTATGCAATTGTCAAGTACTCTGTCTCATTATGTCACACAGACTGACTGACTTACTTGATTTGTAATACGGTCCAAGGCCTCAGTTTGAAACCAAAACACAGTTAGAAGTCAGTCAGGTGACTGTGATGAAGAGAGTCCATTTCTGTAGTCTGGATGGTCATCTTCATACTGTAGGAAGTTATTCACTGGAAGTCTTCATCATAGATTTAAAATCCAGTTTTCTTAGTCCAGGAATTAAGAAACATATTTACTGCTTTTTTGTTTATCCACATAAGTTGCACTTATAAATCCAAAACAGATTTCTTTTAGAAAGATGATAGGGGTTTTGGTGTGCATTATTTGAGAGTGATCATCTAAATATTACTATACAGCAAGATTAAGGGGCCGACAGCATGTTTTAGCTGCTCCATTACACTCTTGTATTATGTGACATAATCGACAATGTAAAAAGTAATAAGATAGTTTAATGCTCCAAAAGAGACAGCAGAAAATGGATCACTTTTACAAAAGAGCACAAGAAAAAAAAAGCTTCTTCCTGTTGCCGTATGACCTTCTTGTCCTCTCGCATGATCTTTTTCTTTGAATTATTATTTTTGTATCTGCCAGAATCATTCTAGTTCTGTAATAGTGTTTTACTGTAAATAGATTAAACATTTAATGTAGGAAATGAGGGCCAGCTCTGATCTCCTTTTAAGGCTAGGGCAGTGAAGATTGGTCAGAATTTAACATGACTCTGAAGCTTCCTGCTGACTCCTGAGTACTGTCAACATACTGACAAAACTGGCCTGGTGCAGACATCCAGATATCCTGGATCTTTAAA